TAGATCCTGTCTATAAGGACCCTGGGGACTTTGCCCATATCAAGCAACAAGCAAACCTCCACAGAGGGGCTTTGGAACAGGCTCATCAGCCTTTACCACTCTGGACTTAGCATCTGTATGTTGACAAAGGTCTCATTACTACCACCTTCTTGACAAAAGAGCTGATTATCGACCTCTTTCACCATTTCCTTTTATAAGTCCTAAGACATTTTTAGTTTCATACATCCTTATGATCACTAGATCCAACACAGTTTAATTATCAATATAGTCAATAAAGACAAAACATATTTTATATGTAAAGTTGCTCTGAATGAATCAGAAGCAGCTTGAACATTTCCCCAAAACAGTTGAAAAGCTGCCTTATGTTTTCCACAGCCCATAATTTATAATGAAACATCTGTAATTTATTTTGAAAATTACAATTTATGTTACATGAATTCTCTTCTAAGATGGAGAAATATATTGGTCACACACACACACACACACACACACACACACACACACACTCTGAAATTTTAGTTTAAAACAGCAGTCATGGTTCATGGTGGAGGTGCACATGTATAATCCCACTACTCCTAGAAGTCTGGTGCATGAGGAGCACAAATGCCAGCCCAGCCTAGGAAATGTAGTGAAATCCTGTCTCAAAAATAGATAAACAAAATAGAAAAGGGCTGCTGATGTAGCTCAGTGTGAAGACCCCGCATTCAATCCTCATTACTACAAAAAAGTTAATAATGAATGGCCTACAATAATTAAAAGGAAGGTGATATGGCATTGTATAGGCTTTCTGATCCAACACTGCTAGGTTTAGATTTCAGTCTATAGCTTGGGTACTGTATGAGGTCAGATGAATTATTTAACCCTTCTGTCTTCACTGTTGAATTAGTTATGCAAAGATTCAATGAGTTAACATATACCTAATGTTTTGTATCCACTTGATAAATAATAAGTATAGCTATTAACTTTCTTCATGCTTGAGTATACTTATTCTTCTCATTTTCACTGGACTGTATGTTTACAACAGGGACAATATTTCATTTATTCCTAGAATTTAGCACAGTACCTGGCATTATTTAGAACCTAATAAACGTTTTGAGTTAAAAAAGACAAACTCTATGACTGTTATGCACAACAAATCATGAGGTTTTGCATCCCACAATTTGTACATGAGGCACGAGTACCCACAAAAGGGTGTCTTCTATCACGGGCATGATTTATAGTTTCTTTGATTAATCAAGGATGTTTCATGGTGATTAAGGAATTCACAAGGAGTGCTGAGCTCAAGTAACAGCACTGAACAGAGGTGCTATTATGTGGTCTACGTAGACAGCCATGTTCTTGTGTAGACACGTAATGATGTTATATCACTACGGTCATTTTTCTCTTTTGTTAATACATGCCAGCTGCTAAGTAGAAAATTGGTTTTGAAAATTCCACAATAAAAACTGCAAGGCCCTATGTACTTGGTAATCAGGAAATCCACCAACAATAAAACAGGGACTTGTTTCTTTTCCTTTTAGGGATTTGTTTTCAATGAAAGTATTTTATACATCCACCTAAATGCTCTTTCTTATCTGGCAAATATTAGAAGCACAACTCCAAAACCTATTCAACATACCTAAATGCATGTCAGCAGGGCTATAAGTACCCTAGGTTATATGAAAGTGATTTGTCTCCAGAATAAGGATGAATTTTTGCTCATAAAGGAGTTAGATCAATAATTTAATAACCTTTTACTTCTTTACCCACACCTCAGAACTGCATAGTACTCCCTGGATTTGGGTTCAAGTGTGTAACAAAATTTTGCAGGCTTACAGAATCAAAACCTATTCCAGACAGTGTAATAGGCTCAGTCTATTGTCAAAATATGAAATTATGGGCCAGGGAGATGGCTCAGTGGAATAAGCGCTTCCCTGGCAAGTGCAAGGGCCTGAGTTCAATCCTTGGTTCCACACAAAAAAAAAAATTATACTTGGAACCAATGTCTCAAATAAAACTAACATGTTCATTTATACTTTTCTTGACAGGCTGAAATTTGAAACAAAAATGGAATTACTGTCAGGGCAAAAACAGTGCCACTATAAAGACATGAAAGTCTGGGTGGATTATCAGGATGTACTATTTTCCTTGAGATTACTCAAGAGAGGCTTTTACTCCCTATCCTGGGTATAATCACATACATTATTTTAGAGTCATGCTTGGCATAACACTGTATGTTGCAGAAATAGAATGCGACATTTTCACTGAGTGTAGTTTACTTTCCACATTTGAATTAACTCTCAAAACATACATTTTATAATAAAGCTCCATAAATACAACTTTTTTGACCAAAAAAGTTTAGATAATATAGTTTAAATCTGAAATATTTTTCCTTTCTTCACCTATTTTTTGCTATACTCACAGATGCTATTTAATCTCTTAATCCTCACGTTTTTCGCAAAGTGTAACCGTATGAGTTGTAAAATACGGTATGCTTATAGCACTATTGTGCAAACAGTTGGTACATAAACACAAAACCTAGTTAGGTCTTTTCCCTTTGGGTTAGAGGTTATTGGACCTGACCAAAAAAATCAGAAAATAAATACACGTGTGGGTGTTGTGTACATACACATGCAAAACTCACAGAACACCTGTCTTAGAAATTTAACACTTAAATTGCAGTGCGTAGTTTTCTTTGTGCTGCATTTTGTGATGGTGGGGTACGAATGCTGTGTGACTGAGCCAATTCTCAGCCCCATGTGAGGAGTTTTTAGTCCGTAACTTTCAACATACCAGATCCTGTAGGCTGAGGAATGAGTAAGGTTTTACTTTAGCTCCACGGCGGCATAAATTAAAAAAGGGTAATTACAAATCTAACATTTGTTTTAGCTTTATTTTTCAGTCTCAAAGTATAAAATATCAGGTCCTATATGTTTTAATTTTTAAATTATGAGTATCTCACGTGAAAAGTTTTCTTTTTGAACTTTTAAAAGGTAACGTTAAGATACTTGTTACAAACTATTGACTTACAGCAGTATAAATTGAGTAACTGCTAATACAGATGTTAAGGTCAATTGATAATTTTTCAAGTTCAGGCTTTGGGTCCATGATTTTTTTCTATCTATCTTTCTTTCTTTTTGGCGGAACCAGGGATTGAACTCAGGCCCTTGCGCTTGCCAGGGAAGTTCTTATTCCACACAGCCATCTCCCCAGCCCTCATGATTTTTTCTAAAAAAACTATTTAATTCCTGCCTCACTTGTCTAATAATAAGTTATAGGAATAAATAAGACAAAGGAATAAATGAGTAGCTAATGATACTAACCAAAAAACTTGGGCCAACATAGTGATTATTTTATATTGTCTTGCTTTATACAAGATGGTTATATTTATTAACAGTTTTAAATGTCCTAGTTATCTTGGAGAGTTAAAAATGTGGATGGAAATGCCACGATGTTCCATAACAATCAGCCTGTATAATTTCCAACTTTTCTATCTCAACAAAAAGTCTGAGAATCACTGACTTAGCAATTATTATGCCTATGTCTAAATACACATATAAAACTAGTTATTCTGATTTTTAGTGCCTATCAGCATGGTAGTATAGAAAATGAGAAATTAAGCCATCAGACTTGGCTTCTGTATTTCCAAGCCAGGGCACAGAAATAGGTAGGCTCTGTTTCTTATGACTAATACATATGTATTATATCTAATGTTTAATAATAAATTTGTCTAAGACATAATGGACTGTTCTTCCGGCTACCGAGATCCAAAGTACACTAAGATTGAGTAAGATGTTGAATTGCTGAAAAATCTGCCAGCTCGTCTGGCTCATTTAAACCAGAGACCAAGGATTTTCACATCCTGCTTGATTTTCATTCTATAAATAATAACCTAATAACTATGAGAACATTACTGAATATATTTCCTTTTCAATGGTTCATCTCATTTTTGATTTTTTCTTTTTCTTTTTGGTGGTACAGGGATCAAACTCAGGACCTTGCGCTTGCCAGGCAAGCACTTATTCCACTGAGCTATTTCCCCAGCCCCATCTAATCTTTGTATTTATTACTTTTGCCCTTATCTTTTTCCCTTGCCTAGAGTCCCACTTCCTGCCACCCATCATTCCACCTAAATTTATTGTTATAACCCAGTGAAATACAGTTTAGTGGGGTAGTAGCACTGTCAGTCACAAGAAACTCATTTAATCCCAAGACCTGTCCCTAAATAAAATACATAAGGTAAATCCAAGTGCTAATTTTTCTCATAATCAAAATAGAAAAATAACACCTGTCTCAAAAGATTGCCACAGACATTAAAATAAAATGATATAAATGGAGATTAAAAAGTACTATTCCAATATATGCTAATATTACTGTGATTTTAAGCATCTATTGTAGTAGTGCTTGTGGTTTTTTTTTTTTTTTGAGACAGGGTCTCCATATTTATTTAGTTCAGGTTACATTTGAATTCATTATGTAGGCCAGGCTGACTTCAAACTTGCAGCAATTCTCCTGCCTCAGCCTTCTGAATGCTGGGATAACAGGTGTGTGCCACCATGCCCAGCTTGTAATAAAATTGTGGTCTCCTCTGTTGGGTCACACACACACACACACACACACACACACACACACACAAACAGTATTTCTAGACAGAAATTGTAATAGATAATGCTACTAAGCAAAATACCAGGCAAGACAAACATTGTTTGGTCACACTGTTTCTATATTGGCAATGCTATTTTTAAAAATGAAAGGTTTTATAAAGAAATATGCAAGATTCTCATTAAAATTAATTTTTCTGTCCCTGCATTAAGATGCTCAAAGTTTAAAAATTTAAAAAATGCCATTTTTTACTTGTTCAGCCATGCTTTTTTCTCTCAACCATTGCCATTTAAAAAAATGGTACTTGGGATTGAACTCAGAGGACCTTGTGCTTGCCGGGCAAGCACTTATTCTACTGAGTTATTCCCCAGCTCCTAAAAAATATATATATTTTTTCAGAACCGGGGATTGAATCCTAAAATATTTTTATATTGAAATTATTTCTTAAACTGTCAGGTGTTCTGTATAAGATTTAGTTGGCCACTAACAATAACAAACTGAATTGTAACTATTAAACCTAGTATCAGTGAGGAAGAGACTTAAATGGCTGTCAGAGTTCTCCTATATGCCCCTGCCATCAGCCCAAACACTGCTCTTACGCTTGCAGCTCCGCGATAGCTCTCAGAACGTCGGGCACATCCCATTATACGTAGCAATGTGCTATTCTCCAGGAATCCACCTAGAAAATCCTGCTTGCAGGTAGGTTAGGCTCTCGCTAAGAGTTAGCGGAAGCCGTCAAGACTACTCTCACATTACGCATTTGTTTATTTTCTTCTGAAAAGTTGAGCCATCTGCCTCTCTGATGCTAGTTATATAAAATATTTCTTGTTGACTTTGATTTTTCTGTGCTTAGCGTAACATACCGCATGCACTACAACAGGGTATCTGTGAGTCTTTACCTAAAAATTAAAACATGTCAAAATGAATTAGGAGGTCTCATCTTCATTTCTGACTGTTTTCAGCACTGAGTCTTCTCCCAGAATTCTACACAGTTCATTGAGTCTCTGCTGCATTTTGGGAATTCCGGCTAGCTGAGACTCTAGCTTTTGTTTTTCTTCACTCAGTGTTAAACGAATAGCAGTATCCAACTGTTCAAAGCGCCAACCTCCTTCACCATCGAATTGTAATAAATGCGTGTGGTATTTCCTGCATGATTAAAATGAAATAATATCATTAGCCATAATAGTGAAAAACAGTTTTTGTTATAGGTTTATAATTCTAACTGACAGTCAAAGGCAAATTTTAAGTGCTGAGTTTATATTTGATGAAAATCACAAGTTAAATACTGTAATAGTCTAAAATTCCAGCGTCAGTACCCTAATCTCCAGGTTATTATCATTGATTAAATTTATCTTCTATTCTGAATGTGTAAGAATTACAAATGAAGCCTTTGCTGTTGTATGTATTAAATTATCTGTATAACCAAGTATGGCTCCTTCTTAAATAATATTCTTAGAATGGCAGCAAGCAAAGGAAATGAAGGAAAAAAAGCAAAACTTAAGATGGTCATGCAGAGAAAAACCAGGGAGAACAAATGAAATAAAATATGAATTCTTTTTTAATCCTTCTTTGGAAATGAGTTTTTCTATGTAAGTAAAATTTCTCAATCACTTAAGTTTAGACATTTTAGAAAATGAACCCATTGATAGAAATCTTTTAAAAATTCTTCCATATCTTCATGTAATTTAATTTCTTTTTTTCATGGCTGAGCTACAGAGGTAAGAAGTTCACAGCGCTGCGAGATTAGTATCAACAATGCCAGAGACAGCCCATCTTCTCAGAGCAGAAGTCACTAACTGTAAGGGGACGGACGGGTAGAGACATTAAAGGTGAGACATTAAAGGGTCCCACAGCTGGGCCCTTGTACAGTGTCAAGGTGGCTTTGAGATGCTGGCCCAGCATTCAGTTTTTCTGTCTTCTTTTAGGTACTTTACTTTCTGCTTCTTGTCAACACTGTTATTGCTTACTAAGACTAATAAACTTTTTTCAGGAAAGTTCCTATATCTTTGCTTTAAAAAAACTGAAATATAGTTCTCATGACATAAATTTACCCCTCAAAGGGTAAAATTAAGTGATTTTTTTGGTATATGAATAAGCTCGTGAAATCATCACCACTACCTAACCTCAGAACATTTTCTTCATTCACAATAGAAATCCTATACCCATTAGCAGCTCTTGCCATGTCTTCCTCTGTCCAGTGCCCCTCAACCACACATTTCCTTTCTGTCTCTATCAGTTCCTCTACTCCACAAGTTTTTCATGCACACAGAATCATACAATATGTGGTCTTTTGTTACTGGCTTCACATATCAAAATGGTTTCAGAAAGGCTCATGCATTGGTAGCATGTGTCATGTTTCATTGGCTTTTATAGCTACACTACATTCCCTTGCATGACATTGTATGTCCTGTTTACTCATTAACTGGTGGACATCTGGGATCCGTACCTCCCCTGCTATGACTTAGATCTGGAATGTGTTTCCTAAAAACCTCCTGTGTCTGGATGGTGACTGGACCATTGGGGAGTTGTTCTCACCCATGGGCCGACCCACTGATGAGTCTGCAGGTAGGTATGCTGTTAGAAGATAGAGGGCTGTGACCTCCATGGGTGCGTCTCCCTCCCCAACTCCTCTCTCCTGTCTCTGCTTCCTGGCTGCCACCTGTGAGCAGCTCCACTCAATGGCAGGCCCCGCCCCATGCCACTTCTGCATTTCAACTTGCTGGCCATGGGCTGAACCTTCTGGAACTGTGAGCCAAAAGAAAGCCTTCCTGCTAAGTTGTGGGTGCTGGGCATTGCGTCCCAGCAAGGAAAAAGTGATTAATACCTCCTTCCCTTGCTTTTTTGGTAATGATCAAACTCAGTCTTGTGAATGCTAAACAAACACTGCACCACTAAACTGCAACCCTCAGCCTTAACCCTCCTTAAATTGGGTGTTTTCCAAATGTCTAGTTTAGGGGCCAGGAGATGGCTCAATGGAATAAGCACTTCCCCAGCAAGCACAAGGGCCTGAGTTCAATCCCTGGTTCCACAAAAAAAAAAAAAAAAAAAAAAAAAGGAAAATGTCTAGTTTAGCTGACAAAGTAAGGTGACTGTCAAGCTGAAAGTTTAAACTGGACAATATATGATGTGGATTATTATTCTTTTCCTTATACCTTGAGTTTCTCCAAAGTTCCAAACCTCTGATCGCCTAACAGCTGGGACCATCTCCAAATTGCATTGAAAACAGTGTATTTCTATGTCACTTGAAAAAATGTCAAAAATCCTGCTATCATAATATTAAACTTAAGGTAAGAGTAACAGAAAAACAGAAGAAGTATGGCATATAATTTACAAAAGAGAAATAACGGCAGAGAGACCATCTTATTTATTTCCTTCAACTTCTCTCAGACCTTCCTAGCCAAAAGCAATTTTAGGTTGTGGCCATTCAAATCTTAGGTGATCTCAACTTTCAATCTATAACAAGAGTCTAACTTGTCACTCTCTGGTCCTACAGAGATGTGGCTTCTACATGGGAGGAATGAACTGTGTAGGTGTCCCATGCCCTGAGAGTCAAAGAGATGTTCTACATTATTAGATAAAATAATATTTCAAGGTTTAGGATAATTAGAAGAATTTTTTTTTAAAAAAAGTATTTGGTGCAGGGTCTCACTGCACAGCTCAGACTCGTGGTGATCTTCCTGTTTCTGGTCTTCCCCGGAGCTGGGATTACAGGTGTGCACCACTGTGCCCAGGCCTGGGGCTGGCATGGCAGGTAGTACCAAGGGTGGAACCCAGGTCCCTGTGCTTGAATTGAAGAATTTAAAAGAAACACCTATTTTAACTATGACTCACTAGAGATGATCTGTAGATGTCTTTTGCAAATAGGATAAAACACAGGAATAAAATAATTCAATATGCTATTATTTCATTAGATACCACTATCAATTTTAATCTTTATAATTAACAATTACCCATCTGTTGTTATGGTAGGAAAGATAATGAACTTTTTTTTTTTTTTAACTTTAGAAAGCTTTCCAGGGAAAACAGAAAAATAAGAATTTTACTCTACCTGAGAGAAAAGATAAAGAGAAATGACAAATTTCTATAAAGTGATTAAACTAATTCACAAAGGCTAACATGGTGTTTAGTTTGATTGAGAAATAGACTGTGAAAAGCTACAACTAAAATATGTTTCCATGGTTAAAAGATGTAACATTACAGATTTTGCTATTTGCTTAGAGAACTATTTGTTCCTCTAGTTGAGAAAACAAAGACTGAAATATTTCCAGTGTTTCTTCAGGCTAATTCAGTGAAGAAAAAAAAATGAAAGGATAGCATAATAAAGCCATTGATAAAGGTCATATAAACACCAGCTCTAAGAGATAACTCTGTTTTATGCCAACATGTGGGATTTGGGAGCTGGTCTGGAAATCTGGAAATCATAGGTCTGTGCCAAAATGGCTCAATAGCTCTGGTCTGGGTCTGTGTCATCCCTAATTCAGAGGAGTTCCAGGAAATGTCACAATTGGCTTAAAGACCCAGGTTCTGTTGGTTTTCTCAGGCAAAAGTCAGAAGAATCATATCCATTGACATGGATTCTGATGTACACTGGACCAAGTCCAGACTGCCTCTGGAGAGATCAGCAAATCCTACCAGCCCAGATGTCACTGATTCCTCGCAATGCTGAGAGAAACCTCAGTGCTAATTAGGGCCAGTTTGGGAAGTGCTTTACTTTCAGATCTACTCTCCGAGGGGGGAAAATTCTGAAAAACCTGAATGTTTAAATAGAGTGAAAAATCAAATGTTAAACTCTCAATAGAAATGAAATCCAGAGTTGAAAAACACTGAACAATAAATACTGTTTACTCATAATTTTAGTGTAAGCATTCTCTGTAAGAAAAAAGGTATGAAGGGCTACAGGGTGGACACAAACATTGCTACTGGTCTAGTTTGGTAGCCATGTGTCATGACAGCTCTGGCATGGAATCTGATCAGCTACCTATCACAGAATGGGGGAGGGGAATGCAGGGAAGAGTGGGGGAGGGGAGGAGATGGGAACGGAGGAGTGGGAACAAGAGGTGGCCTGAGCAGTCCTTTGGGAAATACGACACCAAAGCATATGCAAGAGTGAGTCATACAGCTGCTAACACACCCAAAGAAAAAGTTTTTGATGGATAAAGCAGAAATACTTAAGTAGGAGTAAGTATTTTTTGTGGCTTATGTACAGAACGCATTTTGAGTTTTGTTACAATGGACACCATTGCATAGCACAGAGCATGTGATTACAGAAGCTCATTTTTTTACTTTTCTAATTCTCAGACTGTTTGTAAAATGAAAGAATTAGACTACTCATATTCCATATAAGTTGTGAGACATATACAAAGTGAACCTGCAACAAAACATGCTAAGTGTTCATTAGTAATTCTTACTACACTACTGAATTATCAGAGTAGGAAGGCAGCAAAAAATAGTGGAATCTTTAAAAGAGGGCTTTTAAATTTCTACAAAATATTACTTATAAAAAGTTCAGCTCATTTTTTCTTTTTCAGTTTTTCTGAGACAGGGTCTTACTGTGGAGTGCAGGCTGGGCTTGCCTTGAAGTCACAGCGGTCCTCCTGCCCCAGCCTCCCAAGCGTGGGATGACAGGCTACCATACCTGGTTCAGCACATTTTGATTTAAAATAAAAGCACGCTTTTCCTCCCCTGTGCTCTGTGATTTTATCACTTGGGGAAATGTCAAGTTGTCATCTACACAGCCCCCCACCCAAATTTCAAAGAAAGGACTAAAAGAGTGATATGGAAATACATATTCTTGCCTTTCCTAGGATATTCTAGGGTTATGATAAATATTTTCAGTTCAAATAAATTACTGATTTTTTCTACAACTTTTCAAAATTACTAGAAAATGATAATGACCAAAATAATACATTACAGTTATGATAATAGCTTGGAAGCATCTAAGTCTTATATTTAGCATTGTAGTAACGATTACTAATGACTAAGGTAAAACTTAAAACACAGGTGAGAAAATAAACAGAATGCTTCATGTTCTACGGTGCAGTTTTGCAAAGTTCTTTAAAGAACAAACAAACAAGGAAAAACCACTTCTCACAGACCAGCCAGCAATGGAAACACTTACCAAAGAGAAGGCCTGTGCGTTATAGACAGTAAGGATATTCCAGCCCCTTTCGCAGCCTGAAATATCTTTCCTTCAACATCAATGCTGACAGCACTGGTACATTCATCTAACAATGCATATTTTGGTCTTTAAAAAAACACAAAAATTAATTATTTTCCTCTTTGAAACACAAATCTTTCTTTGGCATATTAAGTTGCAATGCTAACAAGTTCAAACCAGTAAAAAGGCATATGATCTTACAAAATGCGCTAAGTGATAAAGCAAAGAAGCAGTCATATTTTTTTCACACTTGGACTAGAAGATCACATTCTTTGTAAATTCCTCTTCACCATATAATAAGCCCTATTGTCATGCAGATGAATAAATCCTAACTATGAGGCTTAGGAAAGACGAGGCAGGTTATTGAGTGCATTTCTGCAGAACACATGGTAATTCTTGATGACAGGGTTGGATTAATTACATGAAAAACATTTAAGCAGCTAATTATGAAACTGGCCACAATCCTGTTAGCACAGATTGGAGGAGAAGATGATTTTATGAACAGCATGAATCCCTAAGCATTACTGATGGCACTTCATCACTGTGTGACTCTGCAACAATGAAGAAGCCTCACAAGGGTTGAGCTCCAGACTTCTTATGGTTTGGACCACAAATGTCCCCTCAAAGGCTCATGTGCTTAGAGGGAAGACTTGGTGATGACCGGACCCTGTGGCATTGATGTGTGGAGTGTCCTGGATAGCCCAGTCTGCTGTGAGAGGTGGTGCCCCAAGGAAGGACGGACATCACTGGGGCATACCCCGGGAGAATGGGTCCCTGTCCCTGCCCTTCCTCTCTCTGCTCTTCTCTTACTCTTTTTGGCCACCAAGGGGTGGGCTGCTTTCCTTCCTGGTGCTGTTTCTGCCCTGAAGTGAAATGACCAACCTCTCAAACTTCTGAAGCTGTGAGCCCAAATAAAGACCTTGCCTTCCTAGGAGGCACGACCTGGGCTTGGTCCTAGCGATGCAAGTGTGATTGTGAATGTGAATGTGAATCTTGACTGTCGCCTTGACTGGCTTGAGAGCCCTCTGGGAGATGAGCCGAGTGCACTGTGGGTGGTGCTTGGCCACAGTGACCACAGAGGTTCATCTGGCTGTTAGTCCCCCTTCTCTGGCACGCTTCCGCTGTGTTCTGCCACGTGGTGAGCAGCTTTGCCCTGTCATGTCCTTGGGCCATGATGTTCCTGCTTTGAAGCCAGCCAAACATGGACTGAGGCCTCTGGAGCCACGAGCCAAGTTAACCTGAATTCCTTTAAGTTTCAAGTGCCAGGTATTTTGTTCCTACAAGGTAAAGTTGACGGATCCAGTAAGCAACTAAATAATACCAGGACTAGGTCTCAGAATCAAATTCTTAAGAGGAAAAATCAATGCATATCTTTGGAGTTGAATTCAAATGAGCTCAATTGCTCATAGCTCTTTTTTAATATTGATAATGAATGTATACTGTTCCTTCTGCTTATACCACTCCCTTTTTAAAAATCAGATCCTTGCTCTCATCTTTCTCTGTGCTTTTCTTTCGCTCCCTCAGTTATCTTGCACTTGAGGTACATATCTGGATTCACCAACATAGATACTGGGACTGAAGCCAATTCCTGCACTGTCATTTATGGTTCACTTTAGGGTCTCAGTTTCAAGAACCTGCCAGGATAATTTTCCTCATAAAGTTATTTTTAAATATATGACAAAAGGAAAAAAAATGAATCAGTGATAACTTCTCATTCAGCCTAAATACACTAATCACACAGCACTGTAAGTCACCTTTCTAAGATGGGTTTATTAATAGGATCCTGTTCTGGGTAGGCAGTCAAGGACAATAGATAAAGGAGTCAAAGGCAACTTTAACACCCATTAGAATAAAAATTCTTGCTATGCGAAGAACTAAAACATCACTGCAACTGCCCCAAGACAATAGTAACAAATACAGCTTTGCAGATTGGCTTTCGATTACTGCTCTGGTATAAGTATCAAAGTTTTAGCTATTTATTCCAAGTTACAGGCACTTAAAATCTCTCTGGTTAAATATTTTATTGATGCATCTTGCTCTTTATTGCAAGGTTTATCTTAACACAGAAAAATTTATGGTTTCATTTTGCATCATACCACTTTTCACTAACTCTCCTGGGGCTCATATTACAGAATAGCTGTGGACAAGACCCAAACACATTCATGGTGACAAGGGTCACAACTGGTCACAATTGACAAGTTGCAGAGTTTACTCTTGAATCTCAACAGAGAAAGCAGCAACCAAAATGCACGTCACTAAAATTTCTGAGCAAAATCTGGTTTGTATTTTCTTAACTCATCATATTCTTAAACTATGTTCCCTATTACAAATAGCATGATATTAATGCAACTCAATTTTTCTCACTATAAAATTCCAGTTAGACAGGAAAATACATACTACCTGGTTTTGTTAATACAAACTTATAAAATAGGTGAATTAATTTTTGGTGACTGAAATCAGAACAATAGTTTTCTGTGGGGGAAAGTATTGCAAATGGGTGGGCTGGAGATATAGTTCAGTGGCAATAAGCACCTGCCTGGCAAGCTCAAGGTCCTGAGTTCGATCCCTGGTACCGCAAAAAGCAAAACAAACAAACAACAACAACATAAAAAGCATGACAAATGGGCATGAGGAAATGTTCTGGAGAAATAGAAATGTTCTCTATCTTATTTCAAGTATTGGTTACAGAATGTGCATACATTTATCAAAAATAATTTGATTATGTGCTTAAAATACATACATTTGGTACATAATTTTTAAAACAAAATAATTAACCCTGGCTAACTGTTACATAATACAGAAAGATACATAATAGCATATAAAATACAAGGATATGCTATAATATACCTTATGAAAATAATTACATGAAAATGATTAAAATTATAATCACCTATTGTGTACCAAGACTGGTAATAGTTTTTTTAATAGTGTTTCTATATGTAACAAAAATTTTAATTTTTATTTCTTCACCTTTTCATACTTTTGTAAGGTAATATTTAAACAGAATGTGTAGGTCATATATTCTTTTAATGATAAACATTGTGTGTTACAGTCATAATGAATCTAAATAGAACTGAGCTTTCGGCTCTAATTTCTAGGTTGTAAGAAAAATGGGAAGTCAAGGAATGCTACTCAAAGATGTCATGCAGCAGTCAGGTGAACCTGGGGTGGGCAGCATTCAGTGACAACCGACCCAGCTTCTTCAAGTCAGTGACTTTAAGGGTGGTGAGGGCAGGGAAGGAGGGACTCTATTTATTTTATTTATTTATTTGCATTTAAGGGGAGGTTCTACAGGGTGTTCAGGGTTTCACTACGAGATCAGACTCACAGTAATCCACCTGTTTATGGCCTCCCAAGTGCTGGGATTACAGGCATGCACCACCACGCCCAGTCTCAATTGCTATCTCAACACGTCTTGGGGGTGGGGCTGGCATGGCAGGCCTGGGGATCGAACCCCCTGCCCCTGAGCCTACCTGCAGGCGCTTTAATGTGCTGAGCTATGGACTCTTTAAAAAGGAATCACTTTTTCATAAAATAAAAGAATGCTAAAAAAAAATCAAGAAAATAAAAAATGTGAAACTTACATCTTTGAACAAACCAAATGTAAACAGGGTTTTAACAATCATGAAAACTGATTATGAAATAGATATTGGATAACTTCAAGTAAGTATTAGTTTAATTATGTATGCCTATGACATGTTACTAGGAAGAAAATTTCCTAATATTTCAGATATTTATATCCAAGCAGTTAGGGAGAAAGTTTCATAATGTCTTTGACTTGCTTAAAAATAGTTCAGGAATTAAAAAAAAAATAGTAGATAAATCAAGAGTGACAAATACTGCATTAGATTTGTTAAATCAGTGTGATGGGAAAGCAGCTCGCTCTATAGTTCCCCTCTTTTGAGGAAGCTTAGCATTTTCCACGCCTAAGCTGTCTTTTAAGTGATGAACAAGTAGTTTCTAATCAAGCAGTAAGGAAAAGCTGATGCATTTTTTGCTCTTCCTTAGCTTTTTGTTTTAAAGTTCTCTAGGAACACATACACGGCTGCTCTCTAACTCATTTGATATTGGTGACTCTGCCCCAAATGATGATACAATTCTTGTTTCCTTGAGCGCTAAAAATGAGAAAGGTAATTCTTGATAACTTTATGCTCCACACAAGTCAGATTCTTATTTCTAGAGAACTAAGCAAAGAGGGGGAAGAGAGAGAAGAAAGGGAGAATATGGAGAGGGAGAGGGAAGGACAATGGTGGAAGGAGAGGGTGGGAGGAAAGGGGAAGAGGGGTCGTTTCAAAGAACAGGACCTCTGAGAGGAAGGACGCAGAAATTCAGTCCTGCATCTCGCTCTGTGAAGAGAGCACCAAGTCCTTTGTGGGCTGACTGGTTACTCCACTGGGCACCAACTTCTGATTTGTGAAGGAGTGAGCAGTATTAGTTTAAGTGGTTACTGAATGGTCAGAAAGTTTATTTAGTTTGAATTTACTAATCTAATTCCCGCCTACTAAGTGTGTACTAGTGTAAGACTGGCCATGTGTTTTTCACATTCTGAAGTTAGTAGTAATCCTCTTTTAAACCTTAGCACACATAAAAGTTTTAATTTGGCCCTCTGGACCTTGTTTCATCAGAAGTTACTCCATGTGGAAAAAGAAAAAAATAAAACACTGGGAGATTCTGTTACAGGAAAAACTAACCAAAGACATTTCGCACTGTGCACTGTGCACTCATATTCCTACCCAGCTCCCTTCCTCCTCCCTGCCCCCTACCCCCTTCCCTCCATTTCTCAATCCTCTTCCCCTCTGAGATTGGTCTGTCTTCCTCTTCATATTATTATCTAGTATTTACTTGCTCCTTAGTTGTAATTAGGATTTCTCATATGAGGGAAACCATGCGGTATTTAGGCTCAAGTGAAAATTTATTTTACTCAACATTATGATGTCAAGGCATATCTATTTTCTACCAAGGGGCTTTTTTTTTTTTTTTTTTTTCTTTTGAGGGAGCTACCACGGATCGAACTCAGGACCTTGCACTTGCCAGGCAGATGCTGTGCCGCTGGGCTTTCTCTCCAGGACTATCTTCCTTTATGGCAGAGTTGTTCTCCATTGTGTGTAAATACCACACTTAAGAGATTTTAAGGCCGGGGAGATGGCTCAGTAGAATAAGCATTTGCCTGGCAAGCACAAGGGCCTGAGTTTGATCCCCAGTTCCGCAAAAAAAAAAAAAAAAGGCATTTTAAAATTACGGCCAGGGAGCTAGCTCAGCAGTCTCCATGCCTGCCTGGCAAGCACAGGATCTGGGTCGGATCCCCGGTACTACATGCCATGCCAGCCACTGAAACCAGGCGTGGTGGCACATACCTGTAATCCCAGCGCTGGGGAGGCTGAGACAGGAGGGTAATTATGAGTCCGAGCTGCATGGCAAGACCCTGTACCAAATAAATAAATCTTTAAAAAATATAATTTTAAATTAAGATAAAAATAGTGAATCTTGTTTTGGATTTTATATGTAATAGCGGCTACCTGCACAGCGTATACTTACTTGTGATAAAACATCCGAGCCATGCCCATTCTCTGCTTTTCGCCTCCTGACAGAACATCTTTCCAGTCCATAACAGCATCCCATCCTTGAAAAAAGCATGTAGATCATTTATCGAATTATTACTGTCTCTGTGCTGCACAAAGGACTTCTGGCAAGGTCTAACTGTTAAAATGAAGAACACAGTATTTTACAGAATATATCCCTGGACAAACTACACGGCTTCATGTCCAAGCAGTTTATTTCAGATTTGATGTACTTTTAATTGTAACCATTCCTTGTAATAACAAATGTTTTTTCTTTTTTTGAGATAGGGCCTTGCTCAGCAATTCAGGTGGGCCTTAAACTCACCATGGAGCCCAGAGTGGCCTCAGAGATCCTCCTGCCTCAGCCTCCTGAGTGTTGGGATTACAGGCATATGCCACCTTGTCCAGCTATAATAAATCATAAGAATTCTAAATACTGAACTTTAAAAAGTGTGCTTGGTTCTCAGTATTCCAGGAAGGTTGGTGGACTGCTACTTATTTCAGAGGGAAGTGGAAGAAGTGGCCAACAGGTTTGCACATGTAAGCTGCGAGGCCTAAGAAGGCTACAAGAGGAAATAATTTAAGTGGCACCCCCAGGCCTGATGTTCCACGTAAGGCTCCTAAGCGTCCCTTGTGTTTCTTCTAAGATTGATACTATTTCTTCCATACAAGTATTACTAACACAAGTGAGGGATTCAAAATTTTCTCAGTAACACAAATGTCTTAAGTTAACATTTAGCAATCGATGCAAAGGTTCATATCACACCCTAATGTTTTATGCTTTTATCTGAGCAACCTATCCTAATTAAAAATAAAACCACAGTCCCACTCCCACAGTGCCTGATTTTCAAAGACTAGGACTGTCGAATCTTGACAAGTACTTAGGGCAACATTTCCAAATCCTAAGTATTTTGGATGTAATTCTCAGAAAAATTCCATGCTTTTTTGCCTTCATGTTTCTCTCTTGGCTGACCTTTCATCATTACTAAAATTCATAAATAACTTGTTTAAAGGGAAAGAAAAAGAAGCCTTTATTTTCTTGTTTATTGAGTATCTGAGAAGCCAAATTATCAGAATGATTTTATCATGTGCTGATCAGAAGAATACGGGGTTCTTCTTTAATATCCAAAAGTTCAGAACCTTTGAGAGAAAAATATGTTAACTAACATTCAGTATGAACCGCACGTCTAGTCAGGGACACAGCTCACGGCATACGTGCCCTGCTGGCAAGCACAAGGCCCTGAGTTTGATCCCTGCTACCAAAAAAAAAAAAAAAAAAAAGTGCATGTCTACATTTGTGAATATCTTTTTTCCTTTAAAAATTATAACAAAGTTCACTATATTAAAAGTCTAAAATTATAAATTACTAAAAACAGTGGTTATCTATTAATGGGTGCCTGACAGATTGACAGGAGTAACAGGAAAAAAATTCTGGAAAGCACATTTAATTTTTGCATGAAGTGAAAGCATTACTTGTTCAAAAAATTAAATAAATACAATATAGTAATATATTAAAAATAATAAGTACACAAATATCTGGAATGAAAGACTTTCCCTTGTTTCCTAGTGGCCCTCTGAATTCTACCTTCCAAAGTAAATCACTGTTCATTTTCTTGGATAAACTTTCAGAAATTAGTTTTTAAAAAATATAATCATATAACTTTATATTAAGGTCTTATGACTTATATTAAGGGAAAACATCAAACTATTATTTGATTTAAAGTTCTGGCTTCTGGGAAAACCTGCTGAAATAATACTTTTACTATGACTGAATTTTATAATATTTGCAAAATATGAGTGATGTTGTAAAAAATAGATTCGGATTGCTACACTATGGAGAAATATTCAAATAATTCCCCCTTCAAATAATTTCCCCCTGACCACGCAGTACAAGGCCGAGAAATGTAGTTGAGTCAGTGAAAGGTTTGCCATTTTAATAAGCTATGATCTGTGCTCTACTACACCCCACGGGCTTTGTGAACAGTACCACGTGATCACATACCACATAAATCAGAACTCGAGTCATAATGTCTTTGATGCCGAGACTGAGGCAGCTTAGAAGAAAATTATTTTCCTGCTTTCCAGAGTTGCACAATCTACTCTGTCATATTTTGTGTAACCTGTTTGATGGGATGGAATGAAGTTCTTATTCCCATCTTTTACTAAATAAAGATTAGCTAATCCGAACAGAACTTCAGGCTTCTTCCAAAGTGAGTGATATACTTACACACAGAAGCATTTTTCTTGCTTTGCTTAAATGTTTTCTGTTTAAGGATTAAGCAAGCAAACCAGTTTATATGTGAGGATATTCTAGTTTTTATTACTGTCTAAAAAGCTAACAGGGCTGGTGAGATAGCTCAGTGGATGAAGCACCTGCTTAGACAAGCACAGGGACCGGGGTTTGATTCTTGGCCCCATATGACATGCAGGACCTGTCCCCAGAAGCGCTGAGCCAGCCAATGAGACCAGGCGTGGTGTGCATGCCTGTAATCCCTGCACCAGGGAGGCTGAAAACAGGAGGATCACTGAATCCCAGCTGCATGGTGAGACCCTGTACCAAATACATGAAAACAAAACAATACAGCTAAGAGGCTGCATAGCACAATAGCACGCTCTGGCAATAAACAGTGACTTAAAAGTCAGATCTGTGATTTCCTGTGCTGCCTCATTCTAGGGCCCTATTAGCCCGAATTCAATATGTAAACTGGGGATAGTAAAACCTACATTGTTGGACTAATAATATTAAATGAAATAATATATAAGCTGCTTAACATTCTGAATTATGAACACTAAATAAACCACAGCAATTACAGTTATTAAGTTGAAATATTCTTTTTCCTAAAATGGTAGGGAAACATACACATTGTATGACCTGCCTATGGCATGGGAATATAATCATCTGGGTTTGGAGTATTTATAAAACTAGTTCTAGAGCTTCCTCATGACTTTTAAAAGAAAAGAATATCTTTATTTTAAATTTCTATTTGGATTACTGGATTTCAGACCTACTCAAAATAACTTGATAAAGATGTCCTATCTACTTTGCCTCAGCACTCTGTAACCAGGAAGAAACTAATCATATGAAACAATGAAATGATCTGCACTGCTTATATGGTAGAAATTGCGAACACCATAAAAATCAGTGCAATAATATCATTCTTGTCTGATTCGTCTGCTTATTCTAAGCATCAATGAAATAGTTTTTATGAAATTGCCATCTAAAATATGAAATCCCATCATACAAAGACAAGGAAGGCATCATTAGTACCAGCACCGTAACTGTAACATCACCACCCATTAATTTTTGTACATCCACAGGGCACTAGGCTAAATCTTGTATAACCATCTCAAAAACTTTGCGAAATACATTTATCCCCATTTTCCAGTTTAAGATACAGAATGCAGTGGTAGCTATGATTTGATCTGAGAACTCTCACCACCTATATTCTCAATCTACTGCACTACCGCTACTGATAGTATAAATGGACTGCGAAAAGGAACATAAAATCCATGCAAAATTAAACTAAAATTCTAGCTTGCTATTTCAGTGATGTTTCTCGGCTATCACGTTAAGAATTATCAAATTATTTCAAAATATAATTATTAGAAAATAATAATTTAAACATACACGCATGATATTCTTATTTTTAATCTCATATTCTGATGAAAAGCACATTATAGAAGTTTCCATACATTATTTTATGCTGTTTGAGAGAAAGAGTAAACTGGTAAATTATGGGATTGAAAAAGAGAAGTTCTGTGAAAAGTCATGAAATACTGCATTTAATATGAACTGAGAGCTGGGTAGGTGAATATTTTACTCATAGATTTTGCACCTAAAATGGTTTTGACTTCAGGGATACTTGTATATTTGAATATTTAAAAAATGCTTTTATATGCTAGCTGTGGTGACATGAGGATGTGGTAAACTTAGGATGCTACATCAAATATAATACAAACAGAACACACGGAATTTCGTATTATTAAAAAGCTTTCACACAGCAAAAAAAAAAATCACTAATACAGTAAAAATCCAAACCAAAGAGTTGGAAAAACTTTTAGCCAGTTGTCCCATAGACAAAGAACTTATATTTAGAACCTATAAAGAATTGAAAAAGAATAGTAAAAAAAATAGAAATAAACAATTATACATTTTTACACAGAAATTTAGAAATCTAACCATATGCAACATTGTAGCAGGACAGTCCTATGACATTTTTTCTTGACTCTCAAAACTAAACCAAAAGGGGGATATAAATGAAGGACAATTTTGTAGTGAAAAAATATATATCTGTATATATAAAATAGCATAGATATACAGATACTTTCTCTTAGTTTGATGAGAAGAAAGTTTTGAACTAATAGTTACTAGGCAAGATACCATGTTTGCAACTTGTACTATGAATAATTACTATGAAAACAAGAATATGCAATATATTCATTATTTTAACTGTCCTACTAACCTGTTTCAAAACTCTTATTGCTATTTCTTTCTCAATAAAATTAAAAAATAAATAAAATCATTACTAATAAAAAAAGAACTTAAAAAAATGAGACCTCCGAAATTTGAAGACTCAATTCAAAAACGAAAAAAAGATGAAGAAATACCAATGGCAAATAAACACATGAACACCACTGGTCATTCGAGAGCTGCAAATTACAAGAACACTGAGATTCCATCTCACCTCAGAAAGAATGGCTATCATGAAGAAATCAACCAATAACAAATGTTGGAGGGGCTGTGGGGTAAAAGCCACCTTTCTCTGCCATTGGTGGGAGAGTCCTCAGAGCTAGAAGTGGAGCTCCCATTCTACCCTGCTGTTCTCCTTCTTGGCATCTTCCCAGAAGAACTGAGAACATCCTATCACGGCGATCTATGTGCACCCCTGTTTATAGCCACACAATTTGTAACAGATAAATCTTCTGGAAATAACCCAAATGCCCATCAACCAAGGAACAGACAAACAAAGCCTGAAAAGAGTTGTCAATAATAGAAAACCACTGCAATTCTTTGTGAGCTTATTGTGCTGCAATGGTAGCACATGTTAAAATTAAACCATAAATTAAAAGTAGATCCATTTTTTAAAAAGTTAAATGCAGGCTGTGGAGATGGCTCAGGGGAATAAGCACTTCCCTGGCAAGCACAAGGATCTGAGTTCAATCCCTGGCCCAGCAAAAAAAAAAAAAAAAAAATTAAGTATGTATAAAAATGATGGATCTACCTCCTTCTCTTTGAACTATGTGATACAGGTGGACACTGTGCAGAATATACTCCAAATCTTGGTCTGTGTAACCTTTAGCGTGCATATCATCCACCGAGTCAGGATAAATGACTTGATCCCGAAGACTTCCAAGGGACATGTATGGTCTGGAAAACAGCAAACATACAAGAATCAAGTGCAGAGTCACCTGAGCCTCTTCAGTGTGACATTCTGATTGTCTGAAAATAATAAAGCAAGCTTTATTTTTAATACTATTTTATTGTATGTTAGCACCAGTGTATATAAAATACCCTCGTGAAACAGAAATTCATGAAAATCCAGAGAGGTAGATGTTAAGGACTGACAAAAGTTATGGCACATGTTAAGAAAGGGGAAATTTTTGTACAGGCTTCAATTTTCTTTTTTCCAAATAGTCACTGGTTGGTTAAAAGTGGTCTGGGAAACTCTTTTTTTTTTTTTTTTTTTCTTTTTTTGGAACCGGTAATTGAACTCAGCCCCTTGCATTTGCGAGGGAAATGGTTATTCTACAGAGCTGTCTCCCCTGCTCAAAGATGTGTATTAGTGCTTTTTTTTTTTTTTTTTTGTGGAGCTAGGGATTGAACTCAGGCCCTTACGCTTGCCAGGGAAGCGCTTATTCTACTGAGCCATCTCTCCAGCCTGGGAAACTCTTAAGAATTCATTTCACTACAAACAGGAACAGACTTTCTGCGGTCTGAAGGGATGTGTACTTGAGGATACTCCATTCACTATAGGATCATGCTGAGCATTCTGCAGGCAGAACTGTTTTAAGTCTTCAGCTGCCTGGGAAACCTTCACATGGTTGAGCCTGGCCTCCAGTCGGAGCTGCTGAACCACTTTTTTCATGGCGGTGACGCTGGAAGAGCCAGACATAGCACACCCAAGGGCCGGGCCAACTCGAGGGCCAGGGGCAGGGCGGTGAGGGTCAGCGGGGCCAGATAGTGAGGCACGGGGGCAGGGGCGGGGCTCCAAACTTTGTCTGAAAGCAAGCTGTAAACACTGCGTTTTTTAGGACTGCATTTGTAACCTGTTGATGAGTATTTCTTTGCCAGACACTGAAAAATAATATCCTATTTACTGAGCTGAGCATGTTGGCACATGGCTGTAATCACAGAACCTAGGAGACTGAGAGAGGAGGACTGCCTTTAAATTCAAGGCCAGCTTGTACTATCTACTGAGTTCAATACTAGCCTGAACTATACATTTAGACCATGTCTCAAACAAAAAAACAAAAAAACAAATACAAAACCAAACCAAACCAAACCAAACCACCAAACAAAAATGTATTGGGACATAGATGCGAGAAAAGCTTCCATGAGAAGTCATGTGATATTTTCAGCAGAAAAAAGTATTGTGTCTTACTGCATTTGAGAACAGCTGCTTCTGTGCCTTAAATTTCTTTGGGTTACACATGATAAAATTTGGGAGGTTGACCCAACAAGTATAAAGAAAAAGCCATCCTTAGTAAGAAAATGAAAATTATGTTGAGTCTCAAGTTTATCAGAGTGGCAAAAATTCAACAGCTTGATACCACTCGCTAGCTAATGGGGAAAAAAGAAGCTTTTGTAGTATGGTGAAAATGCAGAATGACAGAATCTCTGGACGAGATCTGGTGACATGACATATCATTTGCTCTATAACTTACTTTTAGACTTTGACTTCGAGTGTACATTAAAAATACCAAAGACAAATCATGTCTGGAACTATTAAAGCATTAGTTGAAAAAGCAGGATATTGAAAAACACTGAATTGCCCAAATGAAACTGTGAATAAACTGTAGTATCTCTACTATAGAGATATAAAAGATAAGAAAGGTCTCTATCAACTGACATAGAAGGACATCCATTTACATCGTTAAGTTAAAGATAAAATACACAGATCTATAGGAGGGTTTCTCAAGAACAGTACTAATATACTGAACTAGGTAATTATTGCCAAGAGCTGTTCTAAGTGTTGTAGGATATTTAGCAGGACACATGGTCCCTACCCACTAGATGTCAGTATCACTCCCTCCAGCGGTAACTAGAAAGTGATGTCTATGTACTGTCATATGTCCGTTAGTGGATAAGATCATCTCTGTTAAGAACCACTGATATGTGTATTTATCACTGATCTATTATAAAAAGCAAAATGAAATATACACTTATATGGCTATGGCTACCAAAGAAACACATAAGAAGGGTATATTAGAAAATATGGAAATTGGTTACTTATGGATAAAGAACAAGACAGAATGGATGGGGGGGGGGGGAAATAACCACTATGATATCCTTGATATATAGTTTTTTACTTTAGAATCATATTAAAATATTATTTTTCAATAAAATAAAATCAAATTAACAAGAATGGAGGGAGGAAGAGAAACAAAATAATTAAATTGTATATGAAATTGCTAACTACACAAGAAGAGGAGTGTAAAGATGGGTGAATTAATGCAAGGAACAAGATTGAAAAATTACAAAGAAAGCTTGAAACTTATTTGGAAAAATTATTCTTTGTAAGGATACAGGCTTAATAATTTGGGGAGTATTTTATACATATTGTAGGATTGATCAAATGAGTAAATTTGGATAATGTTAGAAGCTAGCAATCTCACTAGAAGAGGTGAATGTAGGAAGGCAAAAAATCTAATGTTTAATGAGAGCTATAATGTTGGTAAGCATGCATGATTTAAATTACATTTAGTTTTTTAAGCTCTTCCTATGTCTGAAAATATCTAATATTGTTCTTCGAGTAAAGAGGACATCACTTGGGTAATGCAACGGATTGAGTCTGGATCCAAAAATACCGTCTCGTACTAACGCACACAATTTTTCCTTTTCTGACACAGGGTCCCGCTATGTGCGTCAGCCTGGACTTGATACTGCGCAGGCTGACTTGAGCTCAAGGCAACCCTCCTGCCTCAGCCTCCCAAGTACTGAGAATACAGATGTGTGCCAGCACACCTGGCCTAATATTCGTAACTGTGGCTGTGACTTTGTTAAGAAACAGGGTCTTTGGAGATGTGCTAAGATAAGGATCTTAAGTCAGGGCCGTCTTGGACCCATCAGATGGACCTAAAATCCAATAAATTCTCTAATAAAAGGAGAACACAGGAGAGAAAAGTCTATGTGAACAAAGGTGGAGACTGGAGTTCTGCTGCCATAAGCCAAGGAACCCTGGTACTGCCAATGCTGGAAATGGCAAGAAATAATTCTTCCTTGCAGCCTGCAGAGAGAGTGTGGGCTGCCAACATTCTGACCTATGGCCTCCAATGATGTGAGAAAACAAAGGTCTGCTGTTTCAAACCACCAAGTTTTTAGTAATTTGTTATAGTAGGCCCTAGAAATATTACAGGTAGTATTTATTCAAAAACTTGATAACCTGAATCATACCATGAGGAAACTATCAGACAAACCCAAATGAGAGAATGTTTAAAAATGACAACAGTCCTACACGCTTTAAAACAATTCATAAAACAAAACAAAATGCAGAGGAACTCACAGATCAAAAGAAACCAAGATTTGACAGCTAAATGATACTGGATTCAGAAAAACAAGTTACTATGAGCAAGTGTAAGGCAAGTGGAAAGCTTGACTACAGTTTAGATATGAACACATGAATGTCAGATTTCCTGAATTTGATAACTGTACTGTGTTTTGTTAAAAGAAGATTCTTTTTTTTAAAAAAAATTATTTATTTATTTATTTATTTGTGTGTGTGTGTGTGTGTGTGTGTGTGTGTGTGTGTGTGTGTGTGTGTGGCCAGCTCAGCCCACCAGGGGGCGGGGCTGGCTGGCATGTGGTGCTGAGGGATTGAACCGCGGTCCCTGTGCTTTGCTAAGCTTGATCTAAGTAGGTGCTTTAGACCACTGAGCCATCTCACCAGCCCAAAAGAAGATTGTCTTTGAAAACACATCCTAAAGTAGGTAGGGATGACTTAAGATTACTGTAATTTATTTTATTTTTTTGTATTTTAGGGAAAGGTCTACAGGGTGTTCAGGTTCTCATTACTAGATCAGAAGTTGTAGTGATCTGCCTGTTTACAGCCTCCTAAGAGCTGTGCAGTTTATTTTTATCAAAAGAATGGTGGGGCTGGGGAGGGGGCTCAGTGGAATAAGAGCTTCCCTGGCAAGTGCAAGGGCCTGAGTTCAATCCCTGGTTCTGAAAAAAAAAAAAGAATAAATTGCGTGTTTGGGTATATGTGTGTTGTATGTTTTTCAAGAGAAAAAACGAGAATTTTAAAATTTGAATAAATATTGAATAATATGTGTTCCCATATTATGCAAAGTCATTTAGTTAAAGGACTGATAACACAGTTACTTTACAATATATTTAACTATACAAACTTTTAACTTCAAATATTAATATATATATTCTACAAAATTAAATTTTAAAAATAAATCTATACAAACTCCAGCATATTTTGTTTACACTCACATGCAGCACACATATAAAATTCACCTTTTCCCCCAGTATTGGGGATTGAATCCAAAGTGATTAACTCTCCCACTGAACTGTATTGCCAGGCCTTTTTATTTTTTATTTTGAGACAAGGTCTCCATCAGTTGCTCAGGCTGGCCTCAACCTTAGAATCATCCTGCCTCAGTCTCTGAATTTCTGGAATTACAGATGTGTGCCACTGTACCAGGTAATTAATGCTTTTAAAGTGTACAGTTCAATGTTTTAAATACATTAGCAAGCTTGTGTTAACATTATCACTAAATCCAGAACATTTTCTTCAACTTCCAAAACCTTCAATAGCAAACACTTTCCATTTCCATTTCCTCAACTCCTGACAACTACTAATCTGCTTTCTGTCTCCGGGGCTCTGCCTATTCTGTACATTTCAAATACATAGAATCAAATACAGTGTATGTCCTCTCATGACTGACTTCTTCCTAAATACTTACATTTCTGAGTCTGACTTATTTCACTTAATATGGTGATCTTCATTTCCTCTCATTTTCCTGCCAGTGACACAATTTCCCTCTGTTGCATGATTTTATAATATTATCTGAAACTAATGTCTAATAAAATATTAGCATAAAATATGGATTCAAAAAGAAATAGAAATTCAACACGATAGCCAACAGTTGGCCGACAGTTTTAATTAGATACTCTGAGGCAACTTGGAAGAACAAATACAC